TCCTCGCGGTGTTACTGGCCTGGCCGCATTTTCCCCTCTTCCTTTCTCAATTTTGTAAATTCTGACAATGCCTAAGATTTGTATTTCCCTGGTGGCCCTAGAAGGCCTCGCGGTGTTTGAAGAAGCAGCAGGAGGAAGCATTCTGTTCCATGGGTAATGCCTATTAAAATTTCTTATTTAAAAAAAAGATATTGTCAGTCTCTGCATCACTCGGAAACCCGGTTGCCTTAATTAACTTCAGACCTGTCAAGCATTCTACACTGTGAGATCTTAGTTCTTGAAGTAGGGGGTGAGCATGTCATTTTTAAACTTTTTCAACAGCAATCTGTGCATGAAGTCTAAGTGGAAGTTGTTTGTGTTTAACATTATAAAGGTGTAAAGAGAGAGTCTTCCTCGCCTTTGGCAGAAATATTTGAATTTGGTTGATTTCTTTTTTTTTTTTTTTTTTTGTCTGTAACTCACCTGCAGTTCCCAGATCCTTATCATAAGTAGCACTGCTATTTGTTTCTGTGTAAGCAGTTAGTTGGAGCTGTTTAAATGTACTAGGTTAATTGGATATTTATAAACAATTATGAACTTACAGTAGCTCTGAGTAAACATCTTTTGTTTTAAAAACTTTTTGATTGATTGTCTTCTAAAATACATACCTAACTGATGTTAATGGTGATAAGAGCAATGAAGTAGTTATCAGCTATTTGTCTAATGCAGTCAGACACCAAACAGTGTCAATATTTGACTAGTACTCTTTGAATTACCTAACCAGCCCATCCTATTTGAAATCCGTCTACCTGCAGAACTGAGATCAGCGTGCATAGGCAAAAATGTATTTCAATAAAGTACTATGCCAGTAATTCAACAAACTAATGATGTGATGATGACTCCCTTATTGTTGCTTGTCATTGAAAATTTATAAGCAATGTTATATTCATTTCCTTAATATTCATGGTGTCATTTTGTTGGATCATTACAGCAAAGCATCATGGAGCCCCACCTTATATTTGGAAAAGTTAGGGACTCACCAGAGTCTGTAGAGCTAGTTATGCTAAAGTCAGAAAGAGGCCAAAACCATTCTGATGGGTAAACTGTGATTCCCCTGGCATTCTTCACATAATTTTTAAGAACGTAATATTATATTACTATAGTTGAACACATTAAAAAGGGGAAAAAGACTTCAGAAAATCATGACTGTAGATGATAGACCAAACTCATGGTGATGACTTGTAATTATTTATCCTGCATTTTGATATAACAAAATTAAAAACTTTAGGCCAAATATTTCTTACAAATTCATTGCAGTGTAAGTAGTTACTTAAGTATTACTGGGCGATTTTTACTTTTCCCTGTTTCACTGACAACGTCCTCATTTTTTAATGCATGTATATTTTTCTTGCTGAATATGATGTTGTATGTATTCCTGCTAATGACAAATCATGGATTAAACAAGGGGCCCGACAACTGTACAGATACACAATCTTCAGGCAGTAGACTGTGGTCTATGGTATTTTAACTTAAATGGCAGTAGACTTATTTTTGGCTAAATATTTCTATCCTTTGCAGTCTACTTTTTGTTTTTGTGGAATTTACCTTCTAACAGGAAAATATATTATCTCATTTATACAGAATTTATTTCTCTTTGAGTTAAAATCATGAGAAATGTTTTTCCCAATCTGGTGTTTTATTTCCTCATTTATGACTTAGTATTTTAATTATATTCCTGTCTTTAGTTTTTTAAATTTGATTTTCTGGAGAAATTTGTAAGTAGAATTATGTTGCAAATTTAGATATACCTTAATGATACCTGTTCAATATTGCTTTTTATCAGATCACTTGAAATATTAAAATGTGTTTATATTAGCATGGCTCACATGAATAAACTTTTTTCAATAATTTTCCAAAATGAGAGACAGAAGAAAAGTAAAAGCAGCTGTGTCCATATGTTTTGGGGTGATTTAACTTTTGGAGATTGATAATATCGCCCCCCACACATGTAATGAATGAAATAAGTCAACAAACAGTTTTAGTTTGACGGAGAAATAAACGTTACTATGTGTGATTGCAATTTGGGGTCACACATTTCAGAAAGTATAAAGTAAGTCAAAGCAAATAATGATGGTTATCATAGTAATAATTTCATGAGAGGATGCATAAAAGGCAGCTGTTGAAGTTACATAATAGTATGAATCAGTTTGAAGGTTTTTTTTTTTTTTTTTTTTTTTTTTTTGTCTTTTTCCTTTTTATCGGTACTGGGGATCGAACTCACGACTGCCTGCTTGCAAGGCAGGCACTTATGCCGCTGAGCTAAATCCCCAGCCCCTTGTTTTGTTTTTGAGACCAGATCTCACTCTATAGCTCTGGCTGACCTCGGATTCACAGGGATCCTCCTGCATCAGCCTCCTGAATTACAAGTGTTCACCACCACACCCAGATGGTTTGAAGTCTTTAAAATCATTGCTATTTCCTGCTTTTGATAGGGAATGAAATGCCCGTGTGTATATGATTGTGACCTTTAAAAATGTATTGAGTGTAAAAACTTTTGCTGTTAGTTGTTTACTCTTAGCAAGAACACTTTTCTATGTATCGATTCTCTCTAGTTCTACTACATAGTTATTAATCTGATTTTTTTCTAATCATTTTTTTTTTTACTGAAGTTCATATAAATAAAGTTACAAGTCATGAAAGGCTGATTTGTCTGAATGACTTTTACTTGAGGATCTAAGGTATGAAGTCAGGTGTATATGAGAAGTCCCTGAATGATTAGACATTGGTGGATGTGGGGAGGGAGCGGACGGGTAGATGGGGGGACCGAGGCTGAGATGGGTGAGTGAAGAATGGCGGGTGGTTGCTGATCTGCCCACATGGGAAGGCGTGGAGACAGGGGACCCAGGAGACTGCACCTTCAGATTTGGTTGAAGCATAGAGAAACTTGTATGAATGTCAGCCCTGGTGGTGAACACCCTCTGAGGAGCCACAAAAGCGACTCAGCAGCCCACAAACCAAAGAAGGGTCATTCTATCAGCTTTCTCTCTCTTAATGATGTCAGAGGCGTCCAAACTCATTCCTGCCCTCGCTAGATTTTGTCTGTCGCTTCCTGTCTTTCTGTCTGTCCTCCCTGCCTTCTCTAACAGACTCTCATAATACCAGATCAAGTGTCTTCCTTGGGTTGGGATCGGATGACAAACACATGAGGACATAACTAATGTCGTATGCTTTTTATATTCTAATAGGATTCTGCATTCTTAAACCATGACATGAAATGGGTGTGAATATCTCCCAACTGATAAGATAAAACCAGACCACTTTAGATAAACCCAAAACATATCTCAGAGACAATAAATGGAGAAACAATAAATGGAGAAAGAAGTGGGAGGTGTTGTACTTCCGTAAATGTAGATGTGGTAAAAATAAGAATTGAGGGATCAGAGGGATTAAAGGGATTCTACCGTGGGCTCGAAATTCTTCAAAAGACAGGGCTTCCTTGTGCCCCTGGTGTCTGGCAACTTCTGGTGAATGTGCACTTTCACTTTCAGTCAATATATAAAAACTGCACCTAATGTCTTTGGTTTCTGATATTTGTGTGACTTACCTAATTTCTCTTGAAGTGATCTGATTTGTTTATATTCTGCTGTACCTGTGCAGTCCCTCAGCTAAAGCTTTATCCAGAACTAATCATGTGTTTGTGTGTTCCACCAAAAGATAATCAAATCTTAAAGTAATGGTAGTAGTAGGGCTGTATGAGAAATTGTTTTCTTTTGTCTCTGGAATCCCTAATAATCCTTAACATTTGAGTAATGTATTCACCTTGGGTATTTACATAGAAATGCACTGGCCTTCACCGAACTCCTTCCTGTAACTCAGATAACCCGCAACTCACTCAGTCCACACGACATTAATAAATATTCTGAAAAAGAGCATTCCTTGGTTTGGAAAACATTGCATATGCTATATATCTCCTTTGTAGAGTTTTACGGAGTATATTTGCATATTAACGGCTCTGAGAGGCCTTACGGTAAAATAATAATACTGATGATGTCGTTAAACCGAATCTGTTTTCTAAACAGTTTGAGAAATGCCAAAATATGTATAATGCATTATGTGGTTGAATTTATTAAAGATGATGTTACCCAGTTCTATCAGTTAAGGTACAAAGCAGTCCCACAACAAGAGTCCCTCTTTGTTCCTGTTCCCTTTATTTAAGAAAGGGACATTTGGTCTTGTTCTGCAGCTATAGACCAGAAACCTGATTGATTATTAGTAAATTCTTTCCTTATCATCCCTCCACATAAATGAAACTGTTCTGTATTTTAATTGCCTCCTTTCTGGCTTCCCCCTTTACCTCTCGCATTCACAAACACCCGTCTTCCAAACCCCTGGCTTTCTGAATTCTTTCTTAGGAAGGTCCTCAGGTATCCTGTTCAACATTTCCCACTCAGGACAGCAAACACAAATGTGTGCCACGTTCCCATTCTGAGGCATGTCAGCATTTCATTGTGGAGTGGGCTTCCATTGCATGGGACTCAGTCTCATGCCCTGTTCCTTCCACCAGGCTCTCCATCCTCCTTCCAGACCGAGTGTTCTGTGGATGTGGGGGCCAGGGAGCTCTCTATCTCCTGGTCCCCTGACTCCTACACTCTGAGCTTTCAGGGGCGTCTGAGAAGGAGAATGCCAAATGCCCGTGTCTTTGGAGAAACTACACTAGGATCAGGAGAGTGTCTTCTGGGCAGGAATCGATGTTAAAAGTGGTCTTTTTGGAATGCAAATGATGACTTTGGTGGATTCCTGTACAGTAGTGGCTTATGTCTGTTACCTGCTGGTGGAAGTGGTTTCCAATCTGGGGCAATCATGCTAGTTTAGCCAGTACTCGGCTTGTCCTCCAGTGCCCTGGACCCCTCTGCATCCTCCTGTGTGTCTGCAGAGTGTAGCTGAGTTCCACCATCCATGTGCTTGATGGGTTTCAATGATTGCTGCCGAAACAGTAAGCTGGTACCTCTCTTTGCCCACAGGGGTGCGTCTGGACAGAGTCCGTGGCGGTCGGCAGAAGTACAAGCGCAGAATAGATGCAGAGAACAGCCCGTACCTGAACCCCCAGCTGGTCCAGCCAGCCAAAAAGCCATGTGAGTACAGCAGACGCTCCTGCTTCCTCGCAAGCCCCCACCACTGTTGGCACCTCATCCCGGAGCGCCAGCCCCTGCAGACTCCAAGGAGACCCCCCTTTGTTGGAGCCAGTGGCTCCCTTCCCTGGGATTGTCTGCAAGAAACCAGAGCAACATAGCTGTCATCCTTTTCCCTTCAAATGTACTTGTTTTCTTTCTCTCTCACTGTTTTGCACCTCGTCACTCTGGAAGCAGAGGCACATGGATGCATAGCTTATCCGAGGTGCATTGCACATTTACTGGTTGTCTTTATTTCCAGAGGTACATAAAACGGATCATACTGTGATCATTAGTTCATTGGAGCTGTGCGTTTCAGATTTCACAAGAAAGTGATTTTTGTAGTTTTTGCTAACTAAATGAGTCTGGCTGCTCAGCCTCCCAATGAAAATACATTAGGGGCCTCATTAATTTGGAGCGATAGAAGGTTAACACACTAGCTAGCGATAGATTAAAACTGGAATGGGCCCCACTAATAACAAGCATAGGTTGGTGGTTCCATCTCGGAGGCGCTGATGGGCATCGGGAATTATTTTCAAAGAGCCCCTGATTTGAGGGTGCCAGGTGGCACCTTGAAAGTTGACGGGTGCATTGTTAAAATGCAAGCCCGTTCTTTCTGTCATTAAAAAAGCTCTGTAATATAGACCAAGGCAGTGATTGGATACTGTTTCCAAAAACAGTCTGAATTGTGTCATGCCAGGGAGAGGTAATTCACAGTGTTTCTGCAGGTTGTTCACTCCGGGCACAGGGAAGTGCTTTGGTGCACAGATTTCTCACACTGAGCTCTCCTTGTTGTCACAGAAGGCCGGCCGTGCAAGCTCTCCAGGGGAAGTTGGTTTCACAGCCTTTCTAGAAGAGGCTCAGGAATGTTTGCTCTGCTTTCCCACTTCTCCTTGAGATCCACCAGGAGGGGGCGCTGCTGCGCACCTTACTTGAGAGCATATGGGAATCTATTAAACAAATAAAACAGCCCCTGAACTGTAAACCAAAGGACATTTCGGCTATGTCAAAGGAAAAACAACCCGTTTTACATAAAATTAAAGCTTAAGTGAACATATGGCATAGTTTTCCTTTTGCCTTTCCAAAAAACATTATGTTGATTATACCTTCAATTGTCCAATCTGGCATCGACTCCTCAGCCTGCCTCCTCTGCTTGGCGGGCTGCAAGATACAATCTAGGACTGCGCTGAGCAGATTTTGCACATTATAATAAAAAACTTCCCAATAATGCAATAAAATGCAGTGAACACCAATGCTTAATTTCATTAGAGGGTTAGTTTTCCTTGATTCGATAATATACACATGGCCCATTTCTGATTTATTTTATGTGAATGTGCACCAAAACCATTGATAGCACCTTCTGTAGCAAGAGAAATACACGGGGCCCATTTGTAAGTCAACACGATGAAGGAACATCTATCGTTTTTTGTGTAAACCTGAGGAATCAGGAAGTGGCTTGTCAAGTACCTTTAAGAAGATTACAGCAATTTCAGTGAGCTCCATTTGTCTGAGATAAAGAGGACTCCTAATAAATCATTACTCATTATCTAAGGGCCTCTGTGTTAATTTTCCTTAGTCCATCCAATTAGCGTGTTTTTGTAACAAACATTTATAAAACTTAATTTTCAGATGCTGTCAGATAAGTGTCAGGAGCCGGCCTGGGCTTTGCAGAGGAAGCGGCTGGGGAGGTTTCTGCACCCTGACTGATTGTATACTACAAAGCCCCTGCAATGGAAATTGGGTTCTATTGATTCTAATTAGGGAAACATTAAATAAGATTTACCTAGAAACAGGGCTGCCGGCTATTCCATTTTCTGAATGATGGAAATTTTTAAACTTCAGCCGAATTTCTCTGACCTCTCCAGTCAAATACCCATTGACTTAGGTGAAGCAGATTCCTTTTACCTTGCCCTGAAAAACATCTGGAATCCTGATCTCCTCTGGTTATGTTTGTGTACCTTTACGGTTGCATTTTCTTCTAACTCTGGGCATCTGGTGATTCTTGCCAGGCTTTGGTACATTGTCAGTGCAATGGAAGTTTAAACTTCTCTGAGAATAACTAACTAGGGTGTTTTTCACATAGCATAGGCAAGAAACAAATGTCCTTCTTTGTAGATCCTGTGCATTGAAAAAGTATCTGTTTGCTTTTTAAACTTTTTCCCTAAGAGATGTGATATTTGGGAATGTGTCCGCCCTGCTCTGGTGTTCAATTTAATGATCATGGGATATTACTGCCAATGATTAGTTAGCTGGTGAATATTTAAAATAAATTTAATCCAGTGGCCGTATTAATAAATTTTTAAAGAGGGGCTGGGGGTTTAGCTCAGCGGCATAAGTACCTGCCTTGCAAGCGCATGGTCATGAGTTTGATTCCCCGGTACCGATAAAAAAAAATCAAAAATAAATTTTAAAGTATCATGTCTGGAAAAGTACTAATTATAAGTCTTCTTATTTCATGGCAGGCCACCAAAAGAATGCTATGTTTAATTCTAAATCATAGGAGACCTTAAAGATGGATAGCAAATGCTGAACTGATAAACAGTGAATTACTCTACTTTGGCTTTTGTCTACAGTTGGCTTCCTCAGTGCCCTGGGTTTCCAGAATAACTGCACATAGAACCCATGAATGTGTGTATTTATTCTGACCCATTTGGATCTCCACACTTAAAAAAAAAATAGAAGATGCAAGCTATGTGCCAAAATTGAAAATCGGACCAACGAGAAAAACCATTCCCGTCACCCCGCTTTACAGCCATCGGCTGTCACATGCGCCTGAGCGATGGACCAGGCACTTTGATGCTTCCTATTCGTCTTTAGTGCTTATTGTATGGAGGATTTTTAAAACATACATCACCAGTTTCAGATAGATAAACCTGAAGCAGAGAATGAACTCAGGACAACAGATGAAAATAGAGGATAAAGGCATTGGGCACAGAAGAGAGAATGTGGAGCGTTTAAGTAGGAGCATTTTTATGGAAACTGATACCAGCTGTATATGGAAGGCTGACAGGGCCCATGGGAAGGAGAAAAGGAAAGAAATTCCTCCTTAATGCCTCCCACGGTGATAGAGTTATATAGTCAGTAACTCACCCAGGCAGAAGAGTTCTGACCTTTGCTCTTCTTTAAAGAAATTAAGACAACTAGTGACCTTCTTGCCTGTGGTTACGGTGGGCATCAGAAGTTCTTGGCTTCCATATCCTAGCCTATATTTTACTGGTTTACCATGGACTTTTATTTTAAAGCTGTTGTAGACTGTTTAATCGGTTTCCCCAAACCCATTTAAAAGTCAGAGAGCAAACCCAGAAAGCAGCTAACATCTCTTATATGTTTGCTGCTAAAAATGTTCAGTCTGGACAGATGGTTCATCCCAGCAAGAAACAGGTAAAGCACCGAAGACTATCCATTCCGTGATGAGCGCTGTGGCTTGTTTCTTGCTGTGAGCTTTCCTGCACGAGGTTGAACTCAAGTGTGCAGTGTATGGGCTATAGTGGGGTTCACCGGGGGTCTGTGGGTGACTTTTCAGCATGGGGTCGGGGGGCTCCCCATGAGGGATGCTGCTTTCCCAGTGACGCTGTAGCTCTCTGGTCTGACTCTACAGATAACAAGATTGTCTCCCATTTGTTGGTGGCCGAACCTGAGAAGATCTATGCCATGCCTGATCCTACTGTCCCAGACAGCGATATCAAAGCCCTCACCACACTGTGTGACTTGGCCGACCGGGAACTGGTGGTCATCATAGGATGGGCGAAGCATATCCCAGGTACGGGGTCGGAAAGGAGAGGGGAGAGGGCTCACAGTGGGTTCTCTGGGCGATGGACGCAGATGTGAGAAAGTTCAGAACCCCCTCAGGAGCTTTTTTAACCTTCAAAAAAATGTGATTTTTTTTTTTTAAAAAATCACATTTAATTCAGTTTTGCTGAATTTAATAGAATCATAAACCTTTATGTATTTGTACCCCCTTGAGCCATGAGAGTCATCTAATGTACCTTTCTTCCTTTTAGGAATCACCCATTCCGTTGCTTTATGGTGGCTATTTATATTGATCTGCTCTTCCTATCTATATGTCTTTCTTTAACTTACAGTTAGAGATTTGCCATGATTTTATAGACAAATTATAAAAATACATATTAAATGGACATGATTTCCTAATATGATGATTTATAGTTATTTACAATTTGTATTTACTTTTCTCTTTTGACCCATCCTAAAATATCAGGACCCATAGACCTGCTCATAAGTGTTCAGGATTTCTGTGCTCTGTTTGAATTATTTTTTTTTTAAATCTGTTGGGGCTCTGAATAGTTTGCAATCAAATTTTTGAATGTTGAACAATATTTTTCTGGTACAGTTAACTTCTGTCTCCTTAAACTAGTTTGTCTTTATGCTTTGAACGCTACAGTAATTTCTTTAATCAAATTGATGGAAGTCCCTTTCCCAGCCCACACTGAAACCAATTTATTGGTCATGATACGCCAGCAATGTTGCTAACAGTCGTAACGAACTGTCAGGCTGTATCGCACTGAAGCTAATTTGAAGTCATTAGGTGTGCGGTGTTTGGCGACGATTTGTTACAGTGGTTGGGAACACAGCTGACATTTCTGAATGGCTTTGTTCGGCGTACTTCTAGATGAGGCCAAGCAAATTGTAAACTAATTTAAACATCACTCTGGATTATACCAGCTACTTTGTCTTACACTGGTTGCTAATAAAGCACCCCAAATTAAGTCAAAACTAGTTAAACAGGTGAGTTTGAGCATGTTCTTTAGAAAATACCTTCACAAAGAATACTCCAGTTAAACAGGAAGGAGAGGATTTGGATCATGTGCGTAGTGGATGCTGCCTGTGATTGTAACTCCATCTACATAAGGTCTACAGAAAGTGAGAAAGGAAATATTATAGGATGTCAAGACGCTGGAGAGCTTTGGCAGAATTTGCTTGAAAAGAGCAAAGAAGCCTTATTTGAAAGGAACATAGTACAGAAGAGCTAGAGTAGAAGTAAATAAAAATGTTTGTTGAAGTATTTATCGGCCTTTTTAGCTACTAAAAATAGATTATTTATAAAAGTGTAGTATGTCATTATCACATATGTGTGTATATGTATATCCATATTCATATTTTAAATGCCATTATTCTGACCCAGGGTTTCTCATCCTGGCAACTCCCTGATTGGGGACTAGATAACTCTCTCTTATGAAGGTCCTGTTTATTACAGGGTGGGTAGTGGTAGCCTCCACCCATGGGTGCCACTGGCACCCTCAGCAAATCCGAGTCTCCAGACTTCGCCATCTGTCCCCAAGGCAGGCAGAGTCCACAGCCTGCTCCCCACCCTGTCCCAGTAAAGGAGATCCGTGGTCCCAGCCTGGAGCTCTGGCCTTGATATCCTCAACTCACAGAGGGGCTGGAGGTGGGTGGTGGGAGGGAGGGGTGCAGGAGTTCACAGACGTGTCCAGCCCCGTCCAAACATGTCCCCAGCATGGCTTCTGGGAATAGAATCAGAACTCTTTCATCTCCCAGTTGACTGCATTTCAAAGAACTGTTTCAAAATAGCGATGATGATGGCAGTGTTATCGCCCTGAAAGACAGCAGCAGTGTGCAGGGCTATCGTGGGTGCTTTGCAGGCTTTCTGTTATTTACCCAGCTCTCCTCAGGTCTGCCGGAATGAGGCGATTTACTAAGCTGGTATTTCGGTATAGCCCAGACGTACCGCAGTAAAGACCAGTGAAAGTCAAAACTCTTTCCGTGCCTCTGGTTAAGGAAAAGGCAGAGATAAAATGGGCCGGTCTGGTTGTGTGTCTGAGTAGCAGTGTCAGCTCACAAAGGAGCCTGTCATAGGACCTGTGCCACACCAGGGCTGTGACTTTTGCAGAGACGGTAACTTTAAATAACTCTGAGTAACACTGTTTCCAGCGGTGGAAACAATTACTCTGTGATTATGTGCTCAGCCATAAGCCCAGGCTTAGCATTCGTGGGGGCTGACGTGAGTGATTCTCTATCCCTGGCAAATGCCAGAGCAGGTCACTGTGCAGTGATGATTCACCGCCCTGGCTTTCCTCATACCCCAAGGGTATTTTCAGAGATTTCCAGGAGTATCTTGGCTTTTCAGAAAGGAATCAGCAAAACAAGAATGAACAGAAATTCCTTTTGATTTTGTTTTGGTTTGGTTTTTGGTGACAGGGTCTCTTGCTATACTTCAGGATGGGCCTGAACTCTGTTGTAGCCCAGGCTGACCTCAAACTTGCCACTATCCTCCTGCCTCAGCCTCCTGAGTGCTGGGATTACAGGCATGTACCACCACGCCTGACTCCTCTTAATTGTGTAACATCAATATGCCGTTCAACATTTTGAGCAGGAGGATAGGATACTTTCATCTCCAAGCAAGCTGGCTCTCTCTGGGTTCCTAGCCATCAGGGAAGCCACAGAGTTATGCAGAGTGTGGGGCAGACAAGGGAAGGCAAAGAGAATGGATGGCTACAGCCACCTTTCCGCCCTGATCAAAATAAAATTACATTCTTGATACAGGAGCCCATTTTTATATGGGATCAGAGCCTGAATTAAAACCAAACCAGAGTTGGGAATGCTCATCTCAGCCCAAGTTCTTTCTTGCTGTAAGGTTATATTAAAGGGAAACAAACTTTTTTTTAACATAGTAACATTCCCGGCTTTGCTGTCTTGTGCAGCCCCAGTTTCTGCAGCTCTGCACACTCTTGACTCTCGCAAAGGTGTGTATTAGGTAAAGGGTGACACCCAGGAGCACAGCAGTCCCCCTCCCGCCTGCTGGGAGTGTGCTTTCGGATACTAGTTTGTGCTGCATCCAGAGTGGAGAATCGCGCCAAAGAAAATACAGCAGAAGAACACAGACAGGGCGGATTTTTCTTTTTATCAGTAAACAGAATTAGTTGACGTCCATTAGCGCATCACACAGATGAGAAAACGCGCGATTCTGAAACATGACTGCACTTTATCTGCGGGAGAGGAGAGATCACAGGGCCTTTGGAAAATGCCCTCCTTGGGTCGCAGGAGCGTGGGGGCGGCAGGACGGATGACGGTGCCCTAATAGCCCTTCTTAAGAATGACAGGGCCCTGCCATTAGCATCCTTTTATATCCTTGGAAATTGCCAGCGCCTCGCTCTTCTGCTTCCTATCTGCCTGGCTCTTTTTTATTTCTCTTTCAATTTCGTCCGCGCTCGGATAAGCGCATGCTAACACAATATGATTGAGCTGTAAAATGGAACGCTGTCGCCTCTAATCTCTTTTATATAGATACAGAGGTTCTCCTGGCCGCCACTCCATGCCGTCCCCATGGTGGGCCCCGCTTAGAGCTGTCTGCCCGGGGATGGAGCTGTGTCCATTACCAGCGTGCTGAGGTTTCACTGGCTGCTGTATTCGATGGCCAGCCCAGCGGTCAGCTCTCTCCCTGTTCTTTATGGTTGATTAAAATATTATTATGTACCAGAACTTTGTTAGCAAGATGCAGAATGTGCTTAGTCAGCTGCTGCTTAAAAAAGCATGGCCCATATTAGCTGACCTATATAAGTGGCTTTAATATATTTATGGGTCTTGCCAGGCGGCTGACTTCAGGAGAACAGAAAGGTATTTGGACAATTAAGTAAATGGGATATTTTAGGAAAAAAAATTGTTTTCCTTTTCCAATATGGCAGCTTTTTAGGTTGGCTTATTGTAACGTGATGTAATAGACAGTTGCCTGTTAAGGGAGAAGGGCCCGGCTGGATCTGGAGACTTCTTAGTCACATTTTTAAGATGATGTCTATTAATAATGGCAGCTGCTGGGAACAAAAGCCCAGGTGCCTGTAATCCTGGCACTTGGGAGGCTGAGGCAGGAGGACTATGAGATTGAGGCCATCCTATGCTCCAGAGTAAGTCCAAGCTCAAGGCCAGCATGAACTACATAGACTCAGTAACTAAATAATAACTAAATAAATAACCTAGAATTTTTCTACATAATGAGTGGAAGCAGGAAATAATAATAAACCTTAAGAGAAAGCCACACTGGGAAGATAACATGGTAACACATCATTAAATATATTTATCCATACAAGAAGCAGAAATCTGAACAAAAGAAACTAGTATTTTCCACTTAGCCGGAGACATTTTTGTAAAACTATTTAGTTAAGGAAATGTATTAAAGAGTGCTCACTGACTTGGCTTTTGGTAGTTCCCTTCAGGAGTGTTTAGACTTTAATGAAAAAATCTATAAAGAACATGGATTTTTAAAAGTTTTTGTGTTAGGACGTAAGTTTTGCAAAGGAATACCTTTTTGCAAACTTATTGTTAATGGCACTATTTGGAGATAAGGCTAGCACGGGGACCACTGTTTTCAGAAGAGACCAGTTTTTAAGATGACATTCTCTCGCATGTGAAGTTGTAGAGGTTTTCTCTTACAATCCTGCTCACTCGGTGTTGGTGGATGAAATACCCGCCTTATACCTGTAATACTATTAAGTGATTGGCTACGTGCAGAAGCCCAGAATGTGTGGCACCATCACTCCCATCAGGGTATGCAGTGTGCGTGGGTAGGGTTGGAAGTGTTAGAAGCAGGCACCCCGACTGACTGAGGTTGGGGTCTGCCGTGTGTGAGCAGCACCTGAGAGTTTATTCTGAGTCTGTGTCACTGGGACTTGATGGACACATATTGATTAGTACATTTGTCATATGCATGGCCCGGGTCCTCAGTGGGACAGCCCCTGAGGTTCCATCCTCCCCCCACGCCGTCCCTTAACTATTTCTGTGTAGGGTTGTGGC